ATACACAAACACACACACACACATATATATATATGTCTGAATAATATATGTCTATAAGCGGGCCCAAATTAAAATATGAAACATTAAACAAAAAATGTACAGTAACAAAAAAAAAAAGCCAAAAAGAATTAATTTCTTATTTCTATACATTATAAAAAAGAAACACATAAAATCACACACTCTGGCAAGCGATTATTAAATTATTATACTATATAAAATATATAAAACCGTATACAAGTGTGCATACACAATTAACACAACATTCGAAACATTCTGCGACGACGCAATTGAAATGCCAACATCAACATCATCGCCGCTTTGGCAACAATCTTTTCCTTTCTTTTCGTTTCTTTTTTTTTCGTGTGACGCCGAAATTAATTATCAAACATAAAACAAAACAAAAACAGCAACAACTACAACACAGACACACACACGCACAAAAATAGTCAAAGTAACAGCCCAACACAAGCAGCGAAAATAATAATAAGACAGAAAACAACGAAAAATCATCAGCAACAGCAAAGAAAACCTTGAGAGCAACACAACCGAAAAATAAAATAACAAAAACACCAACAAAAAAAGCTCAAAAAACACTACCGAAAACATAATAAAACCGAAAAATTCGAGAGAGAAAAAAAAAAAAAAGGGCTTTTTTATTGATTCGGAACTCGGAACTGGTAGGTAAATCATTGAAAGTTTGTTGCCAAAAAATGTCTGCTGTTATGCTGGCTATTTATACATATTTACTTTTATTATTATTATCATGCCCATCCAAAGCTCATTTCAGCTTGCAAGATGCCCCGTACCCGACCGGGTTCAAGGGTGGACCGACCCATAAAATGCAGGCCATAACATTTGCACCTGATCTTGGCTGAGGGCATAATCCCATTCCATTTCAGCGGCTTTTTTCGGCAATTAAAAACAATGTGCTATAGATGTTATAGATATGCCAAGTCAACCCCATAAGCCCTTGAAAATTTACAGAAAATACAAAACAGAGTATTTTCGAATTAAGTCTAAAACCAACCCATTGATAGTTATAATTATTAGTGTTTTCTTGAACTGTATGTTCTCGCTCATAGAAAACTTGAATTGCTAACAAACAAAGCTTATCACAAATATTATTTTAACCTTCAAAATAATCTTAAGAGAAATATGCAACCCCTGGGGGCAGTTTTTAAAAAACTCCCGAAATTTTTAGGAACAACATGTTTACAAAGTATAACAATACATCCTTATATCGAATAAGTTCCAAAATAAAATAAAAAATAATGCTGTTTCCCAATTATTTTCATTAGGTATTTCAAAGTCGGTAGATCACGTTCTTGTTTCTATTTTTTGTTGTTGTTTCATTCGTTTTTGATACAAAACCCAAAATAAAAAATTAAATAAACCGAAAAAAGAAACTGGAAATTCATTAATATGTTAATTTTTTTTTGTCTTGCCTCATTGATTGTGTCGGTGCGACTGTGTGTGATGTTTATGGTGTGTATAGGACTGAGTGTGTGATGTTTGTGAGTATATAGTGTTGCTGTGCGAGCGTTAATGTTGGCTAAGCAGATTTTCGGGGGATGTCAAGCGGTCGCAGTGGGAATTTTGTGAATCGAATATTTTCCTCTAAGCCAACAGAAAAGCGGCAGCAGGTTCTCATGTTTCGATCACGCTGCACGAAGTAATCGGGATATATACAAATCCAGAGATATATGTACATATAGCAGCTGATATTCACCAAGACTGCACCAATACAACTCTTAAAAACAACTCCAAAACTACACCAACATACACCAATGCACCGATATTCGATTTTAGACTTTGTGGCTAATATTTTCAAGCCATTAGGGTCAACGCAATCTACCTTCTTTTGTAATACATATTTCTGCTCTACCGCTTGTTGTTCTTCTTATTGTTGTTTTTGTTGTTGTTGTTGTTTTTTGTTGTTGGTGTTGTTATTTCACGTTTACACAAACACTAGCACACACGAGAAAAAAAAAATGAAAGAAAACCGCTGTATAATTGAAGCAACTCGAGTTTGTTGCTTGTTTCCTATTTTGCTTTTCGCTCCTTTATTCGATGTTTTTTTTTTTCTTCTTTTTTTATGGGGCTTGGGGGGCACTGTTTGATATTCCAATTTCATTGGTTAGCGCGGCGCCATTTACGTTTCTCGAGCGTGTTCTTTGCATTTTAGCAGCGGCGGCGTCAACGACGACGAAATAGGCAGGCCAGCAGTTACTGCTCCCGCCTCTGATCTCTCACTCACACAAATAAAATAAAAAAAAAAGAATAATAATATAATAATAATAATAATGACAATAGTAAATAAATATTAAGCGAAACGCAGCGAAGTAGCGACGGCAATGCTACTAGCGAGCGAACCAAGCGGACGGGGCCAAGCGAACGTCGCGACGCGTCCGTCCGAACCGCTACAGAAACAAAAATTAATTACATATATTGAAATCACAAACTAAACTAATCAGCCAAACCGACCGACCGACCGCCGGAGAGCGGAGAGTGGAGAGCGGAGAACAACGCTCCCGAGCGGCAAATGGCGCAAAAGCTTGGCCGAGCGCGAAAGCTTGCTCGGAGCGGATCGGAGCAGTTGCAGGGCAGAGCGGAGCCGCACGGAGATAGAGCGACCAGCAACAACCTGCGTTGGAAAGCTGGCGAGACCTTGACTAAGGTTTCCGGCCGGGAAACCCTCGGTGCGGCGCGTTCACGCTCAGTATTTAGCCAGCTACCAGCTACACCAGACAAAAATATATACATATTTAATTGAATTCAAAATAAAATTCCAAGGGAATTTGTGGTATCAAACGCTGCGATTTGAAAATCACTTAAACACACGCACAAAAGTAGGCCACACAAAATATCTAAGTTTAAAATAGGCTTAAAGTATGAAATGGAAATGATTTCAAATGCATATATATTTTGTTTGCCCTAAAAAAATAAAGTTATGCAAGTAAAAGCGACAAACATTACTTTCTAAATGTTATTTTTTGTATGAGGTTTTTTTAAATTTATTAACAGCAAGGTATATTTTTCACTCATTTTCTGACAGTGTACTAGCGCTGAGAGCCAGCCACTTGGCATTAACTGGGAATCTCTCTCCGCTCTCTCTATCTCTGGGAGCTTTTTCTTGGAGCGGAGGCGCGACAGTTTGTCGCTTCTTAGTCTATGAACTTGACGCTGGCGTCTTACACAACGCTGCCTCTGCCTCTGCCTCTGTCTGCGTCGCTGCCTCGGTCGACTCCGCGGCTTCTTCCTCTTCTCTATAAGGCAACGCAACACAACACACATACCACATACACACACTTGAACACACACAACTCTTACAAAAAAACAAAAATAATAATAATGCCACTCAAAACACTCGTACTAAAGGCGGTGATTTTAGCAATGATTTTAGATTTAAAGTTTGAAACTAACCTAGGAACTTAGGCAAGTTTGGAACCGCAACGACAAAACAAGGACTCGACTCTGAGCGGAGGTGCCACTTGGCCAACTGGCCAACAACCGCTACCACTTCCAATTCCACACACACAGCCACTGCAGCAACGGCCGATGCGGAGCGACAACGCGTCGTGGGACTTGGACAGATGCCGACCGACTGCGATGGCAACTGGCGCGGATGAGGCCCGGTCCAAAGCACAGTGGGGCCTGTGTGTGTGCGCGCCGTGCTCGGTGCTCTGTGGCAGGACAGCAAACAGCAGCAGCCAGGACGACGCACTCAGACAGCTTTTCGCAGCACTCAAAAGAAGCTTTCCTCCGAACCCCCATTTCCTTGGCTCATTTCCCTTTCGAAAAGCAACAGTGGGGCACAGGAGTCGCACATGGTGGGGCCGACAGGGCGCATACGCAATATTCGAGTTGAGCGATAACTTGGCCACAATGGCGGTCACAACAATATCTGGGGCATCCCTTGGGCCCAGAAAACAAATCGTTTAACACAAACACGTGGCAAACGGGGCGCATACGTAATATTTTCCTTTGATTTCAGTTCACAAACATTACTTTAACTTTACTTCCAACACAACGCTAACTTAAGAAATTACCAGGTTTTTTTTTTTTAAATATTTTAGCTAATTTGAATAATAATTTTGAAAACAAAAACATGAAAATCCATAAAATATAATCATTTAAATAAAAACTCGACCAAAATTGCATAAATTTCAATGGGAAAAGCATTTTTATTTATTTTTTCATTGAATTTTTTAATTTATTTATTTCCCTAAATTGCACAGTTACATGTTCCGAATGCCGAAGTCTGTACAGAAAGAGCAAGAGGTGATAATCTTTAAAACAATGATGCTATTATCTAACGTTTATGTTTATATAGTTGTGATAAAGGTCTAAGCCTAATAATTATAACTTTTTTTTTTGTTGCAGTCTCATTTGGCTCTACAATTTCCACCACAGGTGTACCCTGGCACGCTGTGCTCTCCGGCGCATTTTTTTTAGGTTTATGGGTTTTCTTTGGTTATCTCGCGATAAGGCAATCAAAATAATAAACACAACACAAAAAGCCGAGATGGAGGAGATGGAGGAGGAGGAGTAGAAGGCGGCGGCGTCGGACGGACTAATCTCAGACATTCGATATGCGACATCGGGGAGTGATTCCCCGCGGAGCTCCCAAGTGATAAAGTGATGGAAATTTTTTATTGTTTAAGCATAAACGAATGTTTGGCAAATATATTTAAATCAGTGGATTTTAATCGAGATTATGGCGTGGAAATAGAGGGGAAGATAAATCTTTAAATTAATTAATTTATTATTTAAGGATTAAGGGACATTATATTAATTTGATATTTATTATTATTATTATTATTATTTATTTATTATTTATCATAATTAATTATTTTGCAAATATATTAAACTGGGCGCATTTTAATAGCGGTTAAGGCGTGGATATATATTTTTTTAATTTATTAATTTGTTTTTTTAGCATTTTTTTGGCATCCATGAGCTGAGGCAGCCAGCCGGGTGAGTTTGGGCAGAGTTCTTACCATTCGCAGTCTATTGTCGCCATTCTTGTCCACGTAGAAGCCATCGCTTCGGGCATCGAATTCCAGGCAGCTGGGGCACAGCCTCCAAAAATCTGAAACTGAAACAGAAAGTATCGAAGCAAAGCTAGAATATTACTTAGTTCGTTAAGAGAGGCAACTGTGATAAGGCGACCAGAACCCCACCCAGCCAACAAAACCCCACCCCCAGACCCCCCCTTGAATACAAAGTATTAGTTATGTTACATATTAAAAAACAAAAAACGAGACAGAGGAAGCCGTAGAGACTAAGTGCTACTTACAAGCTGTAAGCGATCTCAACCGATCGGGAGCTATAACAATAAAGCAAAGAGCAAAGCATAGCAAACTCACCAGTTGGGAGCGATCTCTTGGAGGTCATCATGCTGTCAGGTGGTACGCAGCTGCTCGAGCAGAAAGGACACGGGCATGCTGTGGATGTTGCCTGACTGCGAGGTGCTGTGCAGGTTGATGTCCGCGTGCGCATCGATCCAGACCAACGACAGATTCGGTGTGTGCTGCAGGTGCCCAGCCACGGAACCTATAAAGAGTAGCAGGATTCATCAGGATTAGGCTCAGGACACAAAGGATGTGTGGCAATCGTTAAAGTGGAGTCTCTTACCAAACCCGATCGCATGGTCGCCGCCAATGGCCAGGAACTGGGAGTTCTCCTTGAGCATCAGCTGTACTTGCTCGATCAGCGCCCGATTGCAGCCCCATGAAGTCGGCATAGTTCCAGATGTGGTGGTAGTGCACCCGCTGCTGTTGCAGCAGCGATTCGTCCACGACATAGTCCCGAATGACTAATGAGGCCATCTAAGCGAAAAGTACGAAAAATAAAAGAAATTAAAAAATACAGTTACCCACACGTGTGCTCTTTTCTATACGTTTTTTACTTTTGCAGAGAGTCCACTGCAGTTGTAGTCAACAGGAACCTTGTACAATGTAGTAATCACACGCGTGCTAACTAATATTTATGATTTCTGATCGACTTGGCATATAGAACCGTGATCTACAGCCTTTTCACATTTTTTCGGCAGTTTTTTTCACATTTCTGACGCCATGAATAGCAGGACAAAAGAGAATGCACAAAAACTTGGGTTTCTAATTGTTTTTCTTTATGTTTTTACTTTTGCGGTGGGTTTTTCGACTTAATTTTACTGGTGAGAACAACGCACTTGTATAAGTTGAGATCGTACAGACTTTTCCCATTCGAAAATAGAGCGTTTTCTATTATTTCCGCAGTTTTTTCACTTTTCTGACGCCAGAAATACCACGACAAAGAAGAATGCAAAAGACTTGGGTTTCTAACTGTAAAAAGAGCGTCGCGCCATAAATATTAGTGTGGCCAGATTAAAAAATCTCAAAAAGTTTACATTTCCCCCTAAAAAAAAAAAATCCACACCTGAGATTCGAACCACACCTGATACTCTAACTATATCGGATACTACAACCTCTGAAATTTAGCAAACCGTCTCTCCACTTTTCCACCTTTTGTAGACTTCTAGTTGAGTTGCAAACCACTGAAAATATTTTAAATCTTTGAGCATTTTCCAACATCCTCTGTGGCTTTCCCGCCAAAGGACAATGGAAAAACGAACCGCATACGAAGTTCAACGACGTTGTGGCACCCAAAATACACCATATACATGCATACACACCCACACACACACGCATGGTGCATGTGCACAGCACGCATGTAAAATGGGCTGTGTGCCGATTTGACCCATTTAAATCGAATTATAAATTCTATATTTAGAAAAATCGTTCTAAAAATCACTTCAACTAAGTATAATAAGAGAAAAATCGAAAAAGCATCCGCTGGCAGACGATTTTCCCTACCTAATGACCAATGACCTCTTTCAGTGAAGATTGGATGCCGCTTTTTGGGCTGCAAAATATCACTCCTGATTTCCCAAATTAAAAAAGGAAAATATTTAATTAAAAATGTTAATAAAGCGGATCGTAGAAATTGTAAGCGTGTAAGATTAGTTTTGACATGCACAAGCTCAAAGAGAGGACTCTATCGCCGCTCTCTTGCGCCGTCTTCCGCCATTCTGCCATTCTACATTAATTTCGCTCTCGCACTCGCCAGGATCGGTCGAAAAAGACGCGGCTCCCAGAAAAACAAGGGAAAACGTTCGGATTGGTTCGGAAAAAGTGGTCCCGTCGGGAAAACTATCCCTCCAGAGGGATCGGAAACTGTTTTCTGCGCGAAAATCCGAGGGAAAACCGAGAAAATCTACGCTAGTACTGCGTAGTCTTGACGGCCGGCTATAAGTATGCAAGTGTTAGTGAAATAGGATGCGTGAGCATGTGGCAGTGCTTTTTTGTTTTTTTGTTTTGTGTTTTTCTCTGCTCACAGCGTCCCGTTTTCTTGGCCGTCCTCGAGAGTTCCGCCATTCCCTCGTCATTTTGCTCGCATTCGAGTTGATCGGTCGGAATATACGCGGCTCCTGTGAAAACGCAGGAAAAACGTTCGATAAAACGGGAAAACGTCGTCCGGTCGGGAAAACTATCCCTTCGGAGGGATCGGTACCGGTTAATCGGGTGAAAATCCGTGTTGAAGCCGGAAAAAAACCTGCGCTCGGGCTGCACAGCCAATAAGTGCCGGTTATTGGTGTGCAGTTTTTTCGTGCATAAACTAAAAAAAAAAACTGAAATGGAATTTCGATTTACAGAGGAATTTACAAAATACAAAGTGAGTACAGTCATCCATTATTTGTTTTTTATTTGGTTTCGCTCTCAGTCTTTGTCTTTGCATATTTTCTTTTGCACCGTTATTCGGCACACGCAGAGCAAAGCATCGTTCGCTCTGCTCTATCGCTGTCTCTCTCTCTCAATTCTTTACTGCCGCCTCGGCTTTTTCTTGTTCTGCATTGTGTTTCTGATTCTTGCGCTTCAAATAACATGTAAAAGCAAACGAAAGGAAAGCGCTCTCTCACAGAAGGCAGAACGTAAAATACGATCCACATCTGTGGATTGGCCATTTTTGGTGTGATTTCCTGGCTTGTAAACTGAAACAGGAAATCTTGTGTTTGTCTCTGCTCACGCGGTGAGTACAGATCAGGCATTGCATTTGCCAATAGTATTTAATATAGAAACTCCGCTTCTATTCCTATTTGTTTGGCAGCTATATGATATATTCGTCCGATCCGGCCCGTTTCGTTCATATTTTTCGGGAGAATTTTTCATAAATTTTATAAAAATATATAAGTTTTTATAAATATATTTTTATATTTAAGAAAAGTCCCCCTATTATTATTTTACGTGTGCATTTAAGTGTTCTCTTATAAAAGTCTTTAAAAATACCTAAACAAACTTGGTAAATATTATAAATTTAAATATAAATAATATTTATATAATTTGTATTATTAAAATATATTTAAGAAAAATCCTCCTAAAACTAGAAGGTTTTTCTAGAAATTAGAAACGTTTTCATTGTTTTTAGTGGGAATTTTGCCTAAATATATTTTTATATATTTAATTTATTTTTTACTATTTTTACGAGTGTAGTTTTCTTGTTCTCTTGAAAAATTCTTTAAAAATACCCAAATACACCCAGTAAAAAATAATAAATATAAATATAAATAATATTTATTTAATTTGTATATTCTCAAGTAAAATAAAGTAAAATAGATTGGATTCTGTGTTTTCTTTGACTTTTAAAGACTTAATAGTCTGTTAAAATGCTTAAATATATGTTTCCTCTTTAAAACGTTACTTTATATCATATATAAATTATTCGATTTTTCCACCACATATTAATTAAATAAATATTGAAAACCCTTTCCTGTCTCTGGTTTAAAGTCTTTTTAGACAAAAAAAAAAACCCCTCCTCTTTATGAAATAATAATGTGTCTATATTTATATGGCTTATAGTTTTCTTTTCGCCTGAACATGTTGCCAGGGAATATTTTTAAGGGAATAATGCTTAATGTCAATCGATTTGCAGCTTAAGCCTTATGCACATTTTGATAGCGTTTCCAGGGGGAGCATCGCCTCTGCTGTCTCGCCGTGATTTCAACTAGACTTTTCCCGCTTTTCCACGGGAGTTTCCATTCCCTCTGCTTCTTTTTTTTTTTTGACACTTTTCTTTTCTTCTTACATTTTTTTTAGCATCTCAAAACGCTGTAAAATGCGCTCGTTTACACCTCAAGTGGCAATCATTTGCCATCGCCCCCAGTGACGTTATCGTGGGAGTTTCCTTAGCATTTTCCCAACCTACCCTCAGCCTCAGACCCTCCCCCCTCCCATCGTATTTTCCCTGCCGCTAATCACCAGCTGGGAGAATGTCCTGAGAAAAGGAGAGAGCAAGCGAGAGCGAGAAGCGTTGACTGCTGCTGTTGTTGATGATGATGAAGTGCCAGCAATGTGGCAGTTACAGGATGAGACAGAGACAGAGACGGCAGAGCGAGAAGGGGGTGGGGCGAGAAGGGGGAGGGTTAGAGAAAGAGAGAGAGCGAGAGGAGAAGCACATATGAAACAGCAGGATTTGGGAAAATAGGAGTTTTCTTTTCTTAAAAAAAAAAAACAACAAAAAACCTAAGAAAGATTTTAATAACAAAAAAAAAAAAAAAACGATACAAATTAAGATCTGTATAATTTAAAATATGTCTGAAAATTGCTATTAATTGTTGTATCAATTTCTAAAAATACATATCCAAAAATACCTATAAGCTTAATTTATATAAATCTGGATATTTATTTTAAATATTAAACAAAATATCGATCTTTACCCAATGCTACTTTTCAAGAGTATTTTTCATCTCCCTACACACGTATAAATTTCTTGATCCAATTTTTGTGAACACTGCTGTTTGCGCCCACACACCAGCACACACTTACACTTATTACAAATAATGGGTAAACAACAAGAACAGAAACAACAATGGCTATATGACAATGACAAGGCAAATAGCGACAAAAACTTCACAAATGTCAGTTGGCGGTTGTCTTCTCATCATTTTCCACCCTCGCTTGGAAAATTGAACAGTAATTACACTTTAGGCTTTTTCTTCCCTCGGAAAAGCGTCCCAAGAAATATATTCAAAAACTGAAATTTAAATGAAAACAAATCAGTGACGGGGAGAAAGGTAGTCTGGACTTTAAAGCGCCAGACGGCGGTGGCTTTCAAAGTTGCCTACGGCAACTTGTACTTGTATATATTTTATGTCTGGGAAATATACACTGAAAACTATACAAAAATTAAATTAAATTCAAGTAGAGCTTAAGGTTATTTTTAAAATAATTTATAATCACACAAATCAAAGATTTTTACATAAGAATTCAAGAAAAATGAAAAGTCCTTTTAAGATATTTGTAATAAATATTTAAACAAATCCTTAAAAGATCATAATACATATTTCTGCCTGTGCATCGGCTCTGTATATATCGCTTTATGTATATTTACAACTACTAAACTGTAATCGGGGCCACACACCGGAAGTTGAAATGACTTGAAAATTTATTGCATTTGCAGCAGCACAACGTCGACAATGTTGGTGTTGCTGCTGATGTTGCTGCTGATGCTGATGCTGCTGCTGCTGATGCTGCTGTGCATTCAGCAGGCTAACGCTTGGCTGGCTTTGGTGTTGCCATCGCCATCGCCATCGTCAACGAAACGGAAGTGGCGCGGCAGTCAATTGGGAAGACAGGCCAGGACATGGCCGGAGGCCCAGAGCCAGAGCCGGGGGAGGGTGGGTAGCTGGGGCTTGCAGAGCCGGCGATTGCAAAATTGAATAAGCCCAC